CTCCACTGATGGATGTGTCTTTTTATATTTATCAAGAAGTGATTACTGATATTAATCTTTTTCTATCAATGATAGGTTGGAAACCAAGATCTTTCAAAGTTGGAAACTTTAAAATGGCTCACCCACGACAACTTAATTAAACAACTGATCGACCTATTCCACAATTATCTATTATCTATTTCACACGCCGACTCTCCACAAAGGCTAACCACTATTCAAATGGAGTCATGCACGCCCATTTTTAATCTCTAAAAGTGGCTAGGCTTTTGTTCGCCGCAAATACAGATACTGATCAGGTAAAGATTATTCAGGTACCGTGGGATAAGTTACCCCCTTTTTTCCGATATTGTAATAGCTACCAAATTTTGGAGTACAATAAGCTCCTGGAGAATAAACTTGTCCTCCAACATGTACCCATCCTAAGGCTTGCAACTCTTGGAAATTCATGGTAGTTGGGATTTCTGGCGACTCTAGCCCATTTGCAATCAGCTTTCTCTTTGTCCCCTTAAGATGCTTGTTTCAGCATTTTCAACATTTGTTTCTTCTCTTGTCCCAGCTACTGTGGTTTCTGCTCCTGAGCTAAAGAACACCTTTTCTTCTACTTGAGCTTTCATCCTCAGATTGTGATTGCTTAGAATGGTGAAGTTGCAGAAAACTCTTTTCCTTGCCACTAAACCTTATTTGCTATGCATCTGCCATTGCCCTGATGAGCGGATTTTTTCAACCAGTGCATCTATTCCCTACTGTGTGGAAGCTCCTACTTCAAGCACGATAATACCCTTATTGTTCCCATAGTATCCTTCTGTTACGAGAGAGAACATCTCATGCTTTTCTTCAAACCAATGACAACTCTTGGACCCTCGAGTTAGATCAGCAGCACCAGTGGATTCTTTAAGTTTAGGAAGCAATGAAGGTGCATGTTCCACTTGTTTTTCTTCCTCCTCTTTTTCAGCATTAGCTGTCAATTCCCATTTTTTGGTGGCTTCAAAAACATCTGGTTTCTGGATGTATTTTTTATATATATTTGTCTGTATAAAGAAATTTAGGGACATCGCACATGATGTAATGGTAGTCATTGTCCATGGAGGTGTGCTAGCTAGCTCTTTAAATTAAGGCCATAGAGAAATTAGATATTTGTATGTTTATTTTGGTTTGATATTGAAGGAATCATCCTATGTATGTTGATTAACAACATCATATCTTTACCGTCTTTGACAGTTATATCTACTGAAAATGTCGATTGATGCCTACCATCAGATCCGACTGGTAGTACGTTTTGACGCCAGATTTCGACGGTAGTGCCTGAATCTAGCAACTACGGGTTGATGAGAATGTTTTTGTCATTTTACAAAAGTTTTATATATTGAGGTGTTTGTAAATTAGTAAACCCAGAGGTTTTTTTGTTAATTTTTAAATTCTACTTCATAATAATCACCCGATTCTACTTACTATAAATATTTCAAAAATACTCCAAAATACTAAAACAAACACAATATTTTTATAAAATTTCTTGCATCAATTACATTTACACCGCCATATATTTAACTTTTGGGTGGTTGTGATTACTTTGGCGATCTAAAAGTTTTTAATTTATGCATTTCAAATTTAATTTTTTATTATATATATCTAAGATTTCATATAATTCCTTATTTAATTATGAATTTTAGGTATTAATTACACGTCTTAATGAATTGAAGCGAGTAAGTGATGTCCCTACACTCATAGCCTGATAAGTGTGACGCCTCTCAAGCAGACAGAAACATAAATTAAAGGAACGACAAGAATTTAAAAGAAAAACTCTTTTTACTGTTATTGATAAAGGATAAGCTACTAGTCTTTTTCTTGTATTGTTGATTGTTGTTTTTACCCTGTTCTTATTCTTTTATTTTTTCCCTGTATATAGGTTTTTTGCTGCAGAATACCATAGGCTTGGTTTGTTAGTCTGTTAGAATCTTTCTGTATATGCATGTTGTTGTCGTCATTCACAGTACACTGTTTTACTGAATAGTGGCATCATTTTCCAGCCATCGTTTTGCTCTCTCTGTTTCCTTTGTTTGCTGTTCACTTACATGGTTCGAGCTACCGAGAGTTTTTTTTTCCATGGCAACTTCTGATTCTGATTCCTCCGAATCCCACTATGACCACAAATCAAACACCTCTCTTCTCCCTATCTCAACCTTCTTGACCCAGTGAACCCTTATCGCCTTGACCATGTTGATAATCCCGCTCTACCCCCTTGTCTCTGATCTTCTCTCGACAGATAACTATGCTACCTGGTCTCGCTCCATGCGTCGATCTCTCCGTGCCAAAAACAATTAGGATTCTCAATGGAACCCTCTCCAAACCTAAACACCCCGATGATCCTTTACTTGAGCTCTGGGAGCGTTGTAACGACATGGTCGTTTCTAGCTCCACAATTTTATCAGTCCATCTTTTCAATCTAGTTTTCTATTTGTTGATAATGCACAAGACATCTAGTTGGATCTTGAAGCACGTTTTCTCCCCAAAATGGCCCCCGCATCTATCAGCTTAAAAAGGCAATGGTTGCTCTTCTCAGAACATGATTCGATAAGCACTTACTTTGGAAAATTAATCTCTTTGGGATGAGCTCTCTGTTATGATCCTTTCCCTTCTTGTAAGTGTGGTGCCATGAAACCTTGTTGGATCGCTACCAGCGAGACTGTGTGCTTCAGTTTTTAATGGTCTTCATGACTCCTATTCCCCCACGTGACCAGTCATGCTTCTGGATCCCCTTCCCCCTGTTTCAAAAGTCTTTTCTCTTGTGCAGCAGCAAAGAACACCATCACCAAATTACTTCCCAACCCCATCCACCGAAACCATGGCCATGGCGTCAAGAACACATACAACATACAAATCTTCCCACAACCGAACCATCCTTCCAAGAAAGATCGTCCATATTGTAGCCATTGCAAAATCCCCGCCACTCCTTTGAAACATGCTTCAAAGCTGGCAATGCTGAGCCGCCCCTTTGCTCGCATTGTAACTTAACTGGGCACACCATTGAGAAGTGTTACAAACTCCATGGCTACCCTCCAGCCACAAATACCACACTAAATACAACCTCTCCTGCCTTTCTTGCTAATCAAACTGCTCTCTTCTTTGCTACTGCCCCTGAAGAAAGGGTGATGACAGTACGTTCTGACCAAGCAACAATATCAGCATATCTATCACTGCTCCATCCTCAAGAATCTCAAATTGCGCTTCTGCTGTTCATTCCAGCAATCCACCCTTTATTTCGTACAGAGATGTCTGGTATTCCCTTTTCTTTATCTACACACACAACATTTTCAATCCTGACCCATCCATCAATTGGATCATTGACACAGGCGACAGACCATATGGTCTGTAGCACCTCTTTCTTCACCTCTATTACTTCCACTGTTTCTTATTTTGTTAAACTCCCAAATGGGAATTCAGCACCTGTTACACACATTGGGACCATTCACCTTATCCTTTCCATTATTCTTACAGATGTTCTATGCGTTCCTTCTTTTTCATTCAACTTAATTTCTGCAAACAAACTAACTGTTCAACTTCATTGTTGTTTGCTTTTCTTTTCTACTCACTTTTTATACAGGACCTGCTTGCATGGAGACGATTGGAACGGTGAACTCTGGCATGGCTTATATCATTTTAGTTGCAAGGTGTTCTTCTCCCTCAGCTCTCACAAATTACCTTTCGGCTTTCCCTTCCACAAGACATACTCCTTTTACTTGTTTTTCTTCTGTTACAAACTCTGTTTCTAGCATAGATCTTTGGCATTGTTGCCTAGGTCCCTTATCTCATTCTAGGTTACATTTAATTTATGATCCTATTGTACACAGACAGAGTTCATCCTTAATACAATTCTTGCAGCATTTGTCCCTTAGCTAAATTTAACCGTCTCTCCCTTTTCCTGTGAGCTCCCATTCATCTTCACATATTTTTGAATTAGTTCATTGTGATAATGGGGACCTTGCTCCCAAATCGCACATGATGGTTCTCTTTGTTTTGCTGCCACTCTTTCCCATAATCGAAAAAATTTGACCCTAGAGGCCGGGCTTGCATATTCCTTGGTTGTCCTTTTGGAACCAAGGGCATAAACTTTTGGATATTAAAACTACACTTTTTATTTCAAGGGATGTTTCCTTTCATGAATTTATTTTTCCATTTCAGACCACCAACTTACCCGTCTCCACTAATCATTTCTACCTTTTTTCTCTTCTTCCCAATCCCTCCTCCCATTCTAAATCCTTATACTGTTATGGTTCCAGCTCCACCTCTCGCAGCCTACTCAGTCCCTTCCCCCTCCCCACATATCCATAATTCCCTACCTCTCCACCTTCCCTTCCCCTTCCTCTATTCCTACTTTTTCTTCCTATCCAACCACCATTCAATCTCAACCTCAACCCCTACCACTTCGAAAATCCACCAGAACCAAAAATGCACCTCAATACCTCAAGGATTTTCACTGTCAACAAGCCTTGCTTGATTCACCTCAACAATCGTTTTCCACAGCAGCTCCTTTATCAAACGGTAAGTGCTCTTTTCTCTCTAATTATTTGTCTTACAAATTTTTTAACCCTTCTTTTCAAGCATTTTCTTCTTCCATATCCTTTACATCCGAACCTACTTCCTATAAACAAGCAATCAAAGATCTTGAATGGTGCAAGGCTATGGATGCTGAAATCACTGCACTAGAAAGCAATCATACCTGGACACTCACTGATTTACCTCAAGGGAAGGTTGCCATTGATTGTAAGTATGTCTATCGCATTAAATTTAAGTCTGATGGCAGCATAGAAAGACTTAAAGCTAGACTTGTGGCTAAGGGCTACACCCAACTAGAAGGCATAGATTATCATGAGACTTTTTCCCCCGTTGCCAAGCTAGTTACTGTTAAATGCCTTCTTAGTGTTGCTGCCATCAAAGGCTAGTATTTACATCAATTTGATGTAAATAACGCATTCCTTAATGGAGATTTGCATGAAGATATTTACATGAAAAAGCCCCCGAGATACACTAAGGGTTCTCTAACTCAAGTTTGTAAGTTGCTTAAGAGCCTTTATGGCCTTAAGCAAGCATCACAGCAATGGAACTCTAAGCTTACATCTTCTCTTCTTGGCTTTGGTTTCATCCAATCCAAATCTGATTATAGTTTATTCACCAAGCATGATGGAGACACTTTTATAGCCTTGCTGATTTATGTTGATGATTTCCTGGTTGCTAGTAATTCCACTGCTGCTATTGCGTCTCTCAAAACCTTTTTGAATAGCAAATTCAAGATTAAAGATCTTGGTACTCTTCACTATTTCTTGGGTCTTGAAATTGCTCGATCTACTAAGGGTATTCATCTTTGTCAACGCAAATATGCGTTTGACATATTAGCTGATTCAGGTATGCTTGGTTGCAAGCCTCTCAAACTTCCAATTGATCAACATTTTAAGATCAGCAAATCTGAAGGCACTCCATTACTTGATCCCAGCATTTTTCGAAGATTAATTGGTCGGTTGTTGTACCTTACCATAACCCAACCAGACATCTTTTTTGTTGTCCAATTACTCAGCCAATTCATGGATCAGCCCTCTTCATCTCATTTAGCTGTTGCATACCGCATTTTGAGATACATTAAATCCGCACCAGCTCAAGGCCTTCTACTCTCCTCTACATCTCAGCTTCAACTTCAGGCCTACTGTGACTCAGATTGGGCCTCATGCCCCGACTCTCGTAGATCCACAACCAGATATTGTGTCTTCTTGGGCCAATCCCTTATTTCTTGGAAGACCAAGAAGCAATCAGTTGTCTCAAGATCTTCGGCTGAAGCTGAGTACCGGTCCATGGCAGCAACTTGTTCTGAGCTTACATGGCTTCGATTCATCCTCCAAGATCTTGGCATTTCTCATCCTCAAGCAGCCACTTTATTTTGTGATAACCAGGCAGCTTTACACATCGCTGCAAATCCGATTTTTCATGAAAGGACCAAACACATAGAGCTTGATTGTCACCTCATTAGAGACAAGATTCAAGATGGAAGTATCATTACTGCCCACGTCTCCTCTCAATCTCAATTAGCTGATACTTTCAGCAAACCACTGCCCTCTTATCTCTTACAAGCTCACTTATCCAAGATGGGAATAGTAAATTACTATTCTCCATTTTGCGGGGGGGTGTTAAATGATAAAGGATAAGCTACTAGTCATTTTCTTGTATTGTTGATTGTCGTTTTTACCCTGTTCTTATTCTTTTATTTTTTCCCTGTATATAGGTTTATTTGCTGGCAGGATACCATAGGCTTGGTTTGTTAGTCTGTTAGAATCTTTTTTGTATATATGCATGTTGCTGTGCATCATTCACAGTACACTGTTTTACTGAATAGTGGCATCATTTTCCAACCATCGTTTTGCTCTCTCTGTTTCCTTTGTTTGCTGTTCACTTACATTTACTTTTGAAATTTATGTAGAAACTAGAAAAGCAAAGAAGCTGGCAACAAGTTCTTTTAGGTCCAAATTCGTTTTAATAATTTCACGTTAATCCCTATGTTTGGTTTGTTCTTGAAACTTACCTTGTTTCTTAGAATTTTTTTAAGGTTCAAATTTGTTTATAAGGACAGGAGAATGAAAAGGCAATTTTGTTTTATTATTTTGAGTAATATTTTTGAAAAAGTTGAGTTGGGTTATTATTAAAGGATAGGATTTGAATTTGAAAATGTGTTTGGTAAGATTATTTTTAGTCCCATATATTTGTTGATTTAGTTAAACACCCCTATAATAAAAGTTTTAAAATTAACAAAAATACCCTCACGGCCTCACCCACCCATTAAATGTTCGCAGTCGGTGGTCGGCTATCAAGAATATGTGGGTGGGTGGGGTGTTTTTTATTAATTTATAAACTTTTATCATTGGGGTATTTAGTTAAATTAATAAATCTAAAGGGTTAAAAAAATTAAATATTTTGAGTTAAATAGAATAGGATTTTATTTTGAGAATAGTGAAATAAACATGTATTTTGAATAAGATATAATAGGAATAATAAAAGAAACACACCCAATTAGTGATCATCACTTTTTATCACAACACATACATCATTGCAAATTCATACATTTTAAGACACGTTCAAATTTATATTTATACTTTCTGGTTTCTGGTATCTGGTCATACATTTTAAGACACGTTCACATTTATATTTATATACTTTCTGGTTTCTGGTATGGTTTCTAGTTTTTGGTTTCTCTACGAGAATTTAATGTCACTAGTATTTATATAAACAGTAAGACATGAATGTGATGATCAAACCATTGATTCAAATAGCTATTTTAACTTGATAGATTTCGACGGTAGTGGCCGGAATTTGACAACTGTGGGTGAGTGGGAATGTTTTTGTCATTTTGCAAAATTTTTATATATTAGGGTGTTTAGTAAATTAGTAAACTAAGGGGTTTTTTTTTTTTTTTTTGGTTAATTTTTAAATTCTACCTCGTAATAATCATTCAACTCTACTTACCAATAATATTTCACAAAATACTAAAACAAACACAATATTTTTATGAAATTTATTGCATCAATTACATTTACAGGCCATTAGATTTAACTTTTGGGTGGTTGTGATTACTTTGGTGATCTTAAAAGTTTTTAATTTATGTATTTGAAATTTAATTTTTATTATATAATAATCTAAGATTTCATATAATTCCTTATTTAATTATGAATTTTAAGTGCATTAATTACAAGTCTTAATGAATTGAAGCGAGTAGAGTGATGTTTAAAAGAAGAATAACTCTCTTTACCTTTGAAATTTAAGCAAAGGCAAAAGCAGTTAAAACAACACAAAAAAAAAAAAGCAAATAGAAGTTATTGTCAAACAATTCCCTTTTTATCGGCAAATGTATCCAATGTGGGAACTACTAATAACCCACAATTTTACCAGGTTTTCTATGAATCCAATAGCGAAATTCAGAATTAGTTGCAGGTAGTCAATTCTCAAAGATTGCAGGTACAAAATTACATATGCCAACAAATTATTAGTAGTCTTCATAGTACATATAAAACTACAAAGGCCAAGGAAAAGTGAAAGTGTTAAAGAGGACGAAACACGATTCTGCTTAGCAGTTAACCCCAAAGTAAAGTACGATTCGATCTCTTAGAATACAAGAAAACACAAGCCACAACTTCATCACTCAAAACACGAATCTGCTTAACCGCAGAATAAAGTACGATTCGGTCTTTTCCAATAAAAGAAAACACAAGACACAGCTTCATCACTCAACCAGTAACATCTTCCTTTGCTTCTATTCTGCTATTCCATATTACTCTCTCGTTTTCCTTCTTGGAGTTCATGATAACGGAGGAATTAATTTTCTCAAAGCCATTATCTGAAACAGCTAATATTAAAAGAGCAATATACATACATCATTTTCATACAACATTATGTGATAAAGTATAATTGGCTAATTTAAAGTTAAAATTAAACTTTCACTCAATCATATCTTGTCACATCATGATGTAATGAAAATGATGTAAAAAAGTGACGTAAACGTAACATTACTCTATTAAAATATCGGAATTCCATAAGGAAAACTCACTTATAAGATTAGACCTTTCTGTAATTTTACGGGGCACTGAGCTTTGTTGCATTTCTTAGTACTAATATAGTTTCCATTGTCAATATTGAAATTCTCTCTCAATTTATTTGTTATTAGGACAATAAAAATACATAAATGAGGAGAAGATAACATAGTTTGCGAAAGTAAGGTTAATTAGTAAAAAAGTGGAAAAATTAAAAAAAAAAAAAAAAGATATGTAGGTGTGTGGTGGAGCCAGCCATCTCGAACTTATTCTTACTGTCCTAATAATAATAATAATAATAATAATAAGAATAAGAATAATAATAATAATAATAATAATAATAATAACTTTTTAGAATAATATTTTGAAAAAAGTTAAATTGGACGGGTATTATGATGTAAGATTTGAAAATTAATAAAAATACCCTATATGTTTGTTTATTTACTAAACACCCTTATAATAAAATATTAAAAGTTAACAAAAACACTCTCAACCCACCCATTAAATACAAACAGCTGACCACCACCACTGGAAAGTTGTTGGGGTGTTTTTACAATTTCTAAAAAAATTATTTAAGGTTGTTTAGTTAAATTAACAAATTTAAGAGGTTTAAAAGAAATTGAATAATATACAATAATATTTTGAGAATAAGTCAATTTTATTGTTTAACTTTGTTGGAAATACTAATAATAGTATTCTAAAGAGTGTAACTTTATTGGGGTGTTAGTCATTTTTTTTTCCTTTCTTTTTGTTTTAGGTCTTATAAAGTGCAGTATCTTTATTTATTTTTATTTTTTTTTGGAGCAAAATTATGATATTTTTTCTCTAAATTTTGTATAACAAAACTGGGGCTATATTTTTTTACATAATTTGTTTGATCTTCTCAAAATCGGTTGAATTCTTTCTATTTTATATGGAAATCTATTTCTTTCAACTTTTTAATAGCTAGATCTAGTTTTTTTCTTTTCGATTTTGACGAAATATGGAATGTATAAATTCCTTGATTCATGCTGGTTGTGATCAAAGAGCAATTCTCTCATTCAATCAATCCATAATTTATGTGATTGATTGAATAATTACATTTAATTTTATTCATTATTTTCCATTTTTACAATTACAAAAAGTGTATAAATTAGCATTGTACAATTTTATACAATATAAAAAAAATATACATAAATTCTTCTCTCTTATTTTCTTTCTCTTTGGCATACTCCGGTAGTATCATTGTCTTGAACTGCTCATCTTTGCCTTTTCTTTCTCGATTCCTTACATGGTATTAGAGCAATAATCTTTAAGCTTCCGCACAAACAAGCCTCTCATTTATGTCCCTGAAATCAAACAAAAAACTCGTTTAGTGTTATTATTATTATTTTTTTTCTACAAATGGCATATAATCCAAACCCAACTCAAACTCAATCAAATACAGCAAACCAAACAAATGCAAACCCAACTCCAACCGGCCCAGATCAAAACCAAACCGGTCCACTCCCAACCAGTTCAATCCCAATCGACCCAAACACACAAACCAGGCCTGACCCAGCCCGTTACTCATATGGAATGCTAGGTTATGACCCAGATTCTTTTACCTGTACCAACCTCGACCCAACTTCTCTTGGAATACCAGGTCACAACCTGGAATCTGTTTCTCAAACGGGTACGGATCCAAATCCCTACCCGTACCCATTTCGCCTCATTCCAGCCACCAACAACAGTTGCCCTGAACTAGGCGACGTTCTTTTTTCGCCAGTTTCCGATGGACCAGAATTGGTCCTCATCAAACAAACCCTTATGGGTTCAGACAATTATGCATCCTGGGCTCGCAATTTCCAGCAAGCTTTGATCACAAAAGACAAAGAGCTCTTCCTCGACAAAAACTTCCAACCACCACCACAACCACACCTCCAATGCCACTGGAACCGCTGCAACACACTGGTCCGCTCATGGATCAGTAATTGCATCTCTACAAATGTATCGGTCGAACTCCCACCAATAGAGATGGCTGCCGATATATGGGCATACATCAAAGAGATGTATGGGAAATTGGATCTCGCCAAAACATATACTCTCCGGCAGCGGTTGATCGAACTCAAATAGGGAAACGCTTCTGTTACAGCTTATTTCAATCAGCTCTCTGCCGTTTGGAACGAGTTGGATGCTGCTGAGGAAACTCTTGAAGGGCCGCCTAAAACTCTTCACCAGTACCAAAGGATCTGCGATTGCGACCGTCTGTCTCATTTTTTGCTCAGGTTGAACGAAAGTTTTTATGTGATNCACTTAATTGTATTCATTGTTTTCCATTTTTACAATTACAAAAAGTGTATAAATTAGCATTGTACAATTTTATACAATAATGAAATATACAGAAATCTTTTCCTCTTTTCTCTTCTCTCAGCATACTTTGGCAGTATCAACATCCTGAACTGCTACTCTTTGCCTCTTCATATCAATTCCTTACATGGTATTAGAGCCATAATCTTCACGCTTCTGCACAAACAAGTCTCTCTTTTCTGTCCCTAAAATCAAACAGAAAACTCGTTTTAGTGTTTTATTTTTCTGCAAATGGCAGATAATCCAAACCCAACTCAAACTCAATCAAATGCAGCAAACCAAACAAATGCAAATCCAAC